ATTACACATCAAACTAGGAAACAGGGCATTTCGGAATTCCAGGAAGATATACTCGTAACATATAAAGCTGTTGTCAGTGTTTTCTTGGAATGATGTCTAATAAAATACACATTTTACTAATAAATATTTAAAATTAACCTGTAAGTGCTCCTGAAATCTTTTACATTCCTATACATGTGTTTATAGGGCTTTAATGCCACCCCCTCCCTTCTGTTGTAACAGCAGTTTAGACCAATATGCATTTCCACCTTTTTGGACCAAAGCATCGCCGATGAGTCCATAAAGGTTGAAACAGCTGCTTGACGCAGTAAAATTATTATTTGCATGCTATATCCATTACCAAATCTCATAGGGGTTCAATCAAATCTGTGTGTCTCTCTTTCATCTTTTAAGAAACAAAATTATTCTCGAGACTTCGATATTATAAGATATTATAATTAAAGCTGTTATACTAGAGGATGGTCACAATGGTGTTCTTGTATGCTACGCTTTTGATAATTATCATGCTTATACACTGGTTTTTTAAACTGCAACCCTAGCCCTGATTATTAAACAATGCCGTTTTTTCTTGGGAAATAAATCACATTGGTAAAACACTTATGCATTTATCAGCAATACTTCATTGTTTGTGCATAAAGTAAAACGTTGATATTACCCATGTATTTAATTGAATATCGCGAGAGGGGTGATGTGTGCTAGGTGTCCCAAAATAATGGGAAAATGCCGAGATTGAGAATATATCTAACATGGATCTACTCCGATACAATGTCGTGACGATAAGATTTGTAGCTCCTGTTTTTCTCACGTTCTGATGTTGTCCATTATGGGTATCTGTTGACGTAAAAATGTCTTTATATGATTCTGAGAAAGCGATATTGACAGTGACGTAGTCGATGTCAATATTGCTTTCATGTAAATAAAATCATGCATTCACTGAAATTTAAGTCGTTCATTAAACAATATTAGACATAACATTATGATTACTGTGCAATGGAATGTAAGTCGAATTGTAAAGAAAACGGCATTGCATTTGGCAACTAAATAGACTCGCCTCTTGTCTCTTGACTATTTAATTATTTTGTAAAAAAAGTAAACTCTTATCATTTTGATCACTTGGATATGAGACTCAAGGAAGGAGATGCAATGTAAGCTAGTAGTAAAATGCAGTCGGAGAAATTCTTTATAAAACAAGTAACGTCACAAATAGAATATTTACCTACTATTTCCGAAAATAGTTATATCAATTACCATCACTTATCATTAACTTCCTCGTGACCATGAGCAAAACAAGGAAGGATGTAGGAAAATTCGTGGATGTAAATAAAAAACGAAAAAGATACATGATGGCAGGCTACTGTTTTTCTACCGCTTACGCCTCATGTTAATCCCCGAACTTCCGGCTAGATACTTTAAGAATTGACTTGTTTTCACAAATAACGCCACCTGCTGACAGAAGAATGCAGCACGCGATACGAATTAATACTTAATTAAATATGTGCTTTTTTGATTGCCCCTTATTAGCTTTCTCAAGAAGAATATATTACTGACGGCATTCATTACATTAATCTTAAATTAGGGACACGTGTGAAATTGCCGGAATCATTTTGTTGACCTTGTATGTTTAATAAGGACCTAATGTATGTGTGTCTGTGTTAAGTGTGTATCCGGTACACGTGTGGCTGACCCCAGCATTACCACTCTACAAGTCACGCAAGCTGATGTAGAATTCTGATAGCCTCTCAGCTGGATTTACACCGTGTGTCTTCTACATGTTTTCTCGTGACGTTGCTGGAATACATACAAGTACCATGTGGTAATTATTATATAAGGCGGTGTAAATCAACCGTAGTCGACAGAAGATAGTGCATTCTAAATACGGAACGAGTGATGCATGATCTTACAACTTAGTGAGATAATCCATGTAAACGAAAGTGTAGGAAGTCGACAACGTAAAATGTAATTCGCATAGCTAAAAACAAAACTGAAAAATATTTCATGAAAAGTTTCAAAAGACTCCTGACTTCTGAAAACATGAGTAAACACCTTTTAACGTGGAGATCAGCCTTAGGAAATATTTCACGTATACCAAAGTGCATAATTTAAACCTACTAGCGTGACATATTTTGACACAGACGTGGCACCTTTAACAGGAGTATTGAACCATGCAGCAGTATCTATTTATAGATATGTAGAGGAAACGGGAATCTCGAACCGGTCCATATAGATAGTTTTAAACCACCAAGGATCTATCTTTGGGATCATTCCGACGACCAGCGCTTGAGATAATAGCTACTGGGAGAGTCCGGCACCACCGACGCACTACCTGGATAGCTCGCTACGGTACGAATCTGTACATGGTACTGTTTGCAATCTTAGACGATATTCAGGACCATCAGCGTGTCTAACGGGTTTTGCTGTGATTTAGTAAAACACCTGGAATATTTTGGCTATACGTGCCTAGCGTTTAATGTTACAGCTCGTTACGTAGACATAGTGTGTGTATCGACCAGGACATATACAGTCAGTGTTAAGTTTATTCATAAGCCCGGAAGGTGTGAAAACATATTTATATATTCGATGAAATATAGTCGTCATGACGAGTTTCAGGCTAGACAGACCAACAGAGAATTAACTATTTTGTTTTGAGATCTTAGTAAAACATACGTATACACCGTCTCTCTCCCTGATTCAAACAATCACACTAATCGTAGCAAAATTCGTAACGTGTTAAGTATCTCAACTTGTTAGGAAAAGTTTGACCCCACAGGGATTTCAGATAAGGGTTTATGGATTTTGCGAGTAAACTAAATATAACAATACAGTGATTAACTATTCCCTGTAATCATACAAGCCAAACATGATATTTTTGTTATCGAGATTATACATTAATATATAATAATAAGATAATAAAATGATATAACTTATAATATAAATATAATATATCTGTATAGTATTAGGTATTCGCATATAATTTTATGAATTTGTTTTATCTTAAAAAGAGATAGAATTAGTATTTTTCATACCCAATTCTACGAAACTCTTAAACAGAAAGTGTTGAGACAAAGGCGGCACTAATGCATACATTAAAAGCTTATAAAGCATTGCCTTAAAATTAAACTCTATTTAGATTTGATTTTAAATACAACAAGTGTAGGCTCAATTCGTTAAATCCCGAGTGTCTCTCACAACTAGCACAGCTTGACCCACGACCAGCATTTAATCCACTTGACAAGCAGACAGGAAGTTTGCCTCCACTTATAAATATATATCGTGCACACGTGTATACAATCTGTGATACACTAACCATTTATTTCTATGTTTACGTGTGAACGCTCTGAGGCGTAACAAATGGATTACATATCTTGTTCCGCATCATTGATCAACTAAATATATTTCAGGTTTACATTGATGAATTGATCTCAGTGTCGAAGGTTCACGTATTTACATTTGAGTACAACTGAAATTAACATAAAGTGACAGAGGGTGATTCATTTGTAACGTTAAAGCATCACAACATTCACAGTGTCGGTTAATGCATTTTGTGTCTATTTCATTATAGATCAATATGTCATTTCCCAGCGGTATCAAATTTGATATGAATTAACCCTTCCGCTAGGAATAACTGACCGTATAACGTGGATGCTATACCAGAACGAACGAAAACAAAGCAATGATTTATATATTTAGTTTCGTATTCCCCATGAACATTTATCACCGAAATATAATTGACCTTTTCTCATATATCAGTTTAAATCGGAAAAGTTCTTGATTTCGCAACCATATGTTGTTCGCGAGCGGTCTCGCGTGCATGTCTAAATAACAACCCCAGGGGATTATGAATCGGTTTTATTTAAATATTGCACAGAAATCTATGATTGTATTTTAATCCAACGAGGTATGTACGTGCATGGAATATAAGGCAGGTACTGGAAATAATAAGGTTATCGGTGTGTACGTAGAAATGTTAAATTCATAAAGTCAACGTATTTCAGGATATATGAGAACTTGGGAATTTTAATGTATCTATGTTTTAACGTTAATCTTTATTTTTCTTGAAATGCCATGAAGTTAAATGAAAAAATAATTATTTAACCTCGTTGGGTAAGGTTAATGAATTGCAAATTCGGGAATCAGAGTGGCTCATAGCACAGCTGTATCAGCTCAAAACGATACACAAGACAATTTCACGAACGTGGACTTGTACATATTTTCCCAAAGAGAAATAACACTAAAATAACGTTGAACATTGAACATCGATACCAAACATTATAACAGTCATCAACTGTCTATTTTTAGAATTTATAAAAAAATACGTTTTTCTAAATAAATTTGTTCCATACTGTGATATTTATTTAAGAGATATAACATTTTTATGTGAATAAAATCCTTATGGAGAGAGGATAATAATGGTTTGATATCAAACAAAAACAAATGATAAACTTCCTGATGATAATCACAAGAAATCTTATAACGCGCTTTTTAAGCAGACAGCGATATTATTGAGATACACTGAATAATAAATCCTCATTTATAATTCACCTGTAGACATTTGAGACGGAGAACCATACGGGAGTATTATGTTTATTGAAGACACTCAAAAGGATATAAACCTTTAAAACGATAATAACACGTCTGCTAGCTTTTCAATATGAAACCCTCTTGCACAATTTTCTAACGTATGTTTGCATTGTAAAAACCGCGAGCGCTTACTCAGTCCTAAAGAAGTTATCATTACCAGGGGAGAGTAAACATCTAGAGTCATGGACGATTGTCAGGGGAGGCTTAATCAGGCTACATTCAAGAATGTATAGATCGCCATGCAAATAATGATATTGAAAATGAAAACGGCCTTTCTCTGCTATCGTAATCCCGTTCAACACATATAACTGTGGTCCCCCAACATACTGTCCATATAAGCATATTATAAAACACATGGCAATGGTTTTTAATATTACCATGCTCTATAATCAGGTGTTTTTTTTTTTCGATATTTACTTCACCTCTGTAAATATTCAGTATTAGTAAGCAGCCTGGGATACACTGTCACCACTTTTCACGACATCTCCTTATGGTGTCAATTTAAATAACTAGTGATAGCGTTCATATCAGTAACACAAGTGTCCTAAGTGACGATAGCAGACCGGGTGATACACACGTACGATATGTTTACACTGCTTGGATAGGCTACATACGGGCATTATACATAGGAAAAAGGACCTGTGTCACGCCGGGGCGCGCGCACACGCTAACATTCAAACCGGAGTATGGTGGAGACGTGATCCGGACGAGTCTAGCTTTACTCGGATGTCGTTCATGATCATAAAACAATGGAAGTGTGATTTATTCGTGATTTGAAGCGTATTATCAGCTTAACACATTAACGTAAAGAGTCGGGAAGTCTGAAAGAAATTTTACACAACATGGAAACCCACAAAGCACTCGGGATATAATTTTGACACACGTGTATGGAGAAGTGGTTATCGACGAAAGGGAGTGTTAATATTTACCTTGTTTGGAAATACACAAGTTTGTAAACAAATACGAAAAGCCGGGGGAAGGTGCTAAACGCTGTTGGTTTATGTGAAATTCAGCAAAAAAATAATCCATGTGGGATATTGTCGAAAATATTGTTCGTTACTCAATGACGGTAAGGTACTCAATTTCTTACGATATATTATCTTCTTGAAGTCGTGACTCATTGTAAAAACATAGAACAGATACAAGAACAGTTTATAGAATTAATCAGAGCCAAGGATAAGGTTAATCAGTATTGATTTAAATTAATGACACGTTCTTTTAAAATTTGATGGCTAATTTGCATAACGTCTCGTGCTTTTGATTGACAGGCCTTTTCAGTGATATAGACATGTGTTAAATACATACATTAGTCGAGGACGATAATCATACTGATATTGAACAGATCGGACAGATCATTACTGTATGAACACGGAAGAAGTGACTGTATTAGTAAACTCGATATTGTGTTCTAGCGTTAAATACAGGAAGAAATGGAAAAATGCAAGTGAATTGATTCTTTCAATGGGAATTCGTATGAACCCCATATCTGATTTGCTGGTATTTGAACATAGTGATACCTAAACCCATCTAATATTGATGTATTATTTTTGATACAAATTTCCGATATTCTAGGTTTTAGACGTTATGATCTATTTCAAGTAAACACTCCTTCAATCTGTTTGAATAACACATTTTTTTATTATATTTGTTTTTATATATTTTGTTTCACAACTAATGCGTCCAGATTTTTAAAATTCTCCTTTTTTAGTTTTTGATATTACACTTGTAGCTGTAACATTACTAGCACGTTCCTGAACCTATTCCCATAGGAGTGGGTCTCCACAATATTGAATTATGCCAGTGTCGCACTTAAACCAGCAAAATTCGCTTTCATTTTGCTAGGTATAATAAAACTTGTATCTGATCAAGCTTACTACCTCAACTGGTGAAATAAACAGTAGGGCGATTGGAAAGACGTAATTGAGCTCAATCTATTTCATTACCCTACATTATTTTTTGTTGATTTGGACGACCGAACTTTGGGTTCCTTTTATCCACGTGGTATTTTTTTCATGACGTAACAATCTCTAATTTTGTTGATATTTCAACGACGACTGAACGGATACCATTAAGGTTATTTTACTATCAATACCTCAAATAGTTTTAACAGAAAGCAGTTTTACTGCATAGCCGAATTAATATACATGCGTTAAGCGAGGACCATTAAACAGATGTAAAACATGATGAGTCCGATTAAGTTTACTTAGCATACAACTAGCAATGTGTTGGTAAGTGACTGATATATTCCTCTTTGCCGCCATACCGTAAGGGAACCAGTGGCGTTGGTCGTTCTCCTCACTCTCGGCTGCGAATACCTGCGATTGTGATACTGGATATTCTGTGATCCTTTCTGGAGTCGGATTCGATAGAGGAAAATGTGTGTGAAAATGTTATAAAAAATGTCAATCAAATGAGTTTCATGATATAAAATTGTGAATGGTTACGGAGGAGGAATATTGAAGCGGAAATAGTTCGTTGCTGGAATTATTGCGTGATTTGTCACGTGCATTAGCAAGTATCATGGTGCCGTCTGTAGAATTCTGGTCACTTCCGGTGATGTTACAAATGATCGTGGTCATAATAGCGCTTCTTCCCAAAATAGAACTCAGTCAAATTGATGTGAAAATTGCGCTAATGGTGCCAGAGAACCATTCGTATTTCTCTCGCATGATGGTCGAGCCCGCAATAGAGGAGGCGATTGTAGAGGTCAGAAAAAGAGAGTTACTTCCCTTCCATAGATTAAACGTAACAAAATACAATACTCAATGCGACTCAGTTCGGGCCCCTGTAGCCGCCTTCCGGTTCATGGACGACGGTGGACATGCATTCTTCGGCCCCGTCTGTGATTATAGTCTTGCCGCAGTGGCTAGGTACGCTCCCGAATGGGGACTTCCGGTTATCTCCCCTGGGGGTCTTGCGCAAGATTTTTTAGACAAAAAAAACGAATACAAAACTTTAACGCGTATGGGAATGGCATTTGACTCCATGACACGATTCCTTCTTGCCGCCATTGCTCATTACCGGTGGCCGAAAATGAAACTTCTATACGACCCATATGGTCAAAGCGCAATTTCGGACAGATTCTGCTTCTTAGCCGGATCAGCAATTATTAAGGAAATTCAAACCGAAAGGACGGATATCAAAGGAGATTACACGCTGCTAACAACAGATCCGTCTACGTACGGAAAAGTTCTTCGGGAGGACGTCGGAGCCAAGTATTCAAGTAAGTAGAACGACACATACTGTAAATCGTAAATTATTGACGTCCGTTTTATTTTTCGCTCACGAAAGAGAGGGCGAATTCAACAATGTTCGAATTTCTGTCAGAGAAACTTTGCACTGCAGAGAAATTATCTCATAAAACACCGTCAGTGTTATTTGAAGTAAGGAGTAGGTTATGCTGGTACAATTTGTAGTAATGGCTATTATTGTGCTTGACGTGTTGGGTCTGGAGGTGTGATATGGCTATATGGCCCAATATCCAGCATGCTTAGAACATCATATCATTTTAACAAAATTGAAAACAAATTACGATAGGAATGTTATTGTTTATATTTCGCAAAATACATCATAAATGAAACACTGTTCAAGAAAGATCCATATACATTGTCCCGTTCCATTAGCGATTTAAAATCCTCTTGTGTCAGTATTTTAAAAAAAATTACGAGAAAAATAAATATTCGCTATAAGTGCACTAGCTGATTTTGTTTCTCAAAATTTAGCTTTTTTACCGATAAATTTACGTAGTTATTAAAACTCTATGGTAAAAGAAGTGAAATCTTCAACTGATATAAGTTTCATCATTCTAAAAAGCTACGTTGTGACATCAGATATTTTCGTGAGACCCAATTTTTGTGGTCCCCGACAAAACACCAATTTCTGGTAACATGGATTCGTAAATTACGAGTACCCATTCAAACGGAAAAAAAATGTATATATAGTTTCTTCATGAACCTATGAATTCGTGGATGAAGATTACCCATGAAGTCAACGAAATTAAAAACCAACGAGATTTAGTGACTTCTCAGAAAATGAAAATTGTCGTAAATGACTTGCCAAACTTATAATTCTTTCACGAGGGATATTTTCACAATTGCCACACACTTTGAATTTCTGTGGAGTCATCCCCTCACGGACTATCCAGGTCCATGTAAAACCTAGTAGCACAGATACTTTGGGTATTGTTCGAACGCGGATATACATTCAAGTTCAAGTTCAAGTTCAATTTGTTTATTTAAGTGTCACATATCACAATTACATTTATGTTCATTAATACATATAAAATACTTGTACAAAATATAAATCAATTCCATTGGTACATATAAAATACTTGCAGTTGGCTGTTTCCTAGAACTTAAAATAGTTTGTTTAACATAAAAAAACACCCACTTGTAATAGGGATCAATATCGACCTTAGATTATTGTGAGACTACCCTTCTTATTATCATTAACATGTAGGTTGCAGTGACTCAAAGTGCGCTACCCTAGGTTGGGGAGAGCCCTACCAGCGAAGACAGGTCGCTCTGCGCCACTGCAATCATACGATGTAACTTTAAAAAAAAAAAAAAAAAAAAAATTTATTTTATTTATCAGTTTAAAAAAAGGAATACCAGGTTAAAAGTAATTGTAAGGGCTTTTCGAAGTCCCATCTCAAAGGTACATTTACAACTTCAAAACACGATAGAGAAAAATAAACTTCAAACATTGATCAATGGCTTTAATATATTGAAGAATATTTCAAAGTTATGTCACCATTGTGTATGCTATAACTTCTAGGTAATCGCTGCTGTGCTTTAAGCCCTTAGTCATAGGACTTGTTTTGTTAAAACGCGGAGTTGCAAGTTCAGCAGGAAGTACTATGGGTATGTCTGAAACAGCCACTCCACAGTCGTATGGATATAGGAGGGCAAATTAATATTCGTTATAATACACTGTGGAGTGTAAACATATATCCAGAAATACTACAATACAATTAAATAAAACCATATAGTAGTGTATGAAACATAAATATTTTGCCAGTACAGTTATATCTACAATGATACAATAAAACAGCATTACAGGACTTCCATCGATATCAATATTTATAAATCACAGTTTTAATTATAAAACCATGGATATATACACGTGTCGCAATGGTCGTGTCTTTCTCAAGTAAACAAATATAGAAATATTACAAGTTCAAAAGTAACCTGTTTTAACTAGTCCTTGTATCGAAGTTCTTTTTCAAGGTTCTCTATGTAAATCTTTTATTCATGTTTTGTACATTTTGAGTTTGATATACGGCTTTCATCACAGTTAAGTAGTCTCCAGTTGTCTTTAAGAACAATTCTTCAAAAGAAAGATAAATAGTAAAACGTGTAATCACACAGAGCTAGCATTAAGTGACAGCTACCGTGTTAGTATACTATACTTAGGAACCTATCAACTACTAAGAATTGGAAATACGGTCAAGGTTTTTAATTAAAGGAGATGTGAGTGTAGAGTGGAGTATAATAACTGTGATCCACTCTACTGGAACGATTTAACAGTTTCTGAGGTGAGCGTTTCCCGCTGTAGTTATTGCAGCCTACTGTACTGTTTGAAGTAAAGCATCCCCTGGAGTGTCCAGATGTATTATATTTAAAGAAAACGTGGATGATTTACTAGATTTCAGATGTTAGTTACAAATATCTTTTTACTTTCATTTTTAGTATTCGGGTATATAATGTTGCAGTTCTGTAATACAAGTAAACCATATTGTGTAATGAGAGGTATTTGAGGGATACACGAGATCTATAATTTTCCCCCTTTTGTTCAGGTATTGCCTAAGCTCTTTCGCTGTTCTCCTCATTTGTTTTAGTGCCTTTTTCGTTCCTGGTATCGTCTTTACTTTCGGTTCAGCTTCTCCTCTGTTTCATTGTTTTCTTCCCTTTTGTTTTAGAATTTCCTCAATCCATGATGTTGTGTTTAGTATTTATCTTGCGTCCGCTTTGCTTGTTTTGCATCAGGTTTTCTTGTAACTTGTCATATTTCATTTCGAAATATTTTATCAACCCTTTAACTTTGCTAACGTTTCTCGTGCTAAATGCAATGAATCATTATAATTGGTGATACAAAAACCAACAGAATAACACTGATACGTTTTTAAGACGTCGTACAGAGGACGAAGAATAAATTATCCATTGGGCAAATCCTACATTATTCTTTTCCTTCAACATACCAAGCTTCGTCGCAAAGAATAATTGAAACAAATCGAAAGCTATCGGAGATACAATCTGGCCTGTTCTCGCTGCTCATTCCTTAAACGGCTGTTCATATGTTTTGATTGTACTTTTAGTTGAATGGGAATCTGACAATCCAATACAGCATGCTTAGTGACAAGAGTGTTAAGAGAAGAATATTTCAATCAAGATGTTTTCTTATCAATGGCAATATATCCCTCCGCGATCATGTTATCTTCGTAGATTTGAAGCACTGAAAGTTTCTTTCTGGATTAAAATACAGGTTGATTTAGTTTGCGTACGTTTGCGCAAAGTGACGTGGTTGAAACCGCCATTATCTTTCACGAGACCTACCTTACCATAGGCATAGTTACCTTGAGAAACATTGTGTCTAATCCTGGTGCTTTATTTGGTAAATACAAGTTTACGCATTAATGCATCTGGCAATGCAAAGAAACAGCAAAAACAATCATTCATTAAATGCAGAACAGCCTGATTACGTATAATAAAGAGTGATTGCCTTTAGATGGAGTAAATGCAGACTTTTGGATTATTCAGTGTTTTAGACATGAACACTGTAGCATTAAACGGGTCTATCATACCATCTTACTTGCCTTAAACGAACATCATAGGTAGTTAGGGAGAGTAATCAAACTATTTATATACCGGTAAGTTAATAATTTATGAAAGTCGTGACCTCATTACCGGTCATTATAGACAGATGGTCTTTCAAGTTGACTTGACAGCTATGTTTTGCATTTGGGACTAAAAACAGGGGATCTGTAAAGACGATTTTTACAAGTCGCCCATTGGTAGTACCTATTTTTACAAGGTTTTCTGTTATGATTTGCGTTAGGGACTGAAGACAGGGGATCTGTAAAGTAGATTGGTATGAATCACACATTGGTAGTACCTATTTTATAAGGTTTTCTGTTATGATTTGGGTTAGAGACTGAAGACAGGGCATCTGTAAGGTAGATTGGTATTAGTCACCCATTGGTAGTACCTATTTTTACAATAAGTATATAATTGGTAGCAGGTAGTCGTCATGTGAGGCAGTGTTAGCAGTAGTTACTTATAGTTGATACCTATAGACAGGGAATACCTTCCACATATTTGTACTATATACATTTTGATGTGGTAGAGGTAGAAGGTTTTCTGATACAGAGGTTTTACAGTAATGTTTTACGGTAGGTAGATGGGGACAGGTTATCTCTGTGGCACACTTTACTAGTAATATACGTGTGGTAGATTTAGAGAGTCGGTCTCTAAGGTTGTTTCCACATGAGTTATTGACAGGTGGCACATGAAGCTGTAGGCAGTCGTTCGCGGAGCAGTTTAATTGCAGTTATAAATAGATGGAAAGCTATGGACACGAGATATCTCTACCTTTTGTTTCGTAGTGTCTGGTTGGCGATACCTCACTTTTTGCTTTGATGGGTTCTGTCCCTAGGCCGGTACATACCAAAGTCCTTTAAAATGGTAGTAATTGTTTTCTGCTTAACGTTCAGCAATAAGGGGGGAAGCAAACCTGGTTCACCCACTGTAAGTATAATATTGGTAGATGGAATGTTGCGGTGGTTGGGTTCGGCATGATATTTCAGTGAGATAGCACTATAAAGTCGACATCAGATCCGCGCTATCACAAGGAGGCAAATGCACCTTCATACCTTGCATCGTCCTGCATACACACTCATATACAAAACACACATGGAAGCACGTCCTTAAAACACCTCAGCTGTCTATAACAAATTTAACCGTATAAACCAAACTCTACCTCGCCAAGTGATGTAATTCTCCAACTTTTCACACTGCTTTATATATATTCTCATTGTGTAGCTTGCTAACTTTGGGTTCTATATCCGCTCGATACGGTAATCCATTTTTACTCAAATGCAATATCGCACAATACGTACGAATCAATTATGACTACCTTTCAATCGAACGTACGATGTTATTCATAGGTTTATTTTCGTATTGGTTTGATCTTTCCGCCTTATACAGGGACATGTACCTAGAACTG